AGCAGGAGTTGGTCTGGAGCAAGCTAATCCACCATTGCTGGGAAGCGGGATTCTGCCGCAGATACTTAAATCACATCTCAGACAGACATTACATCATTTAACACAAAACAGGTGGACATTCCCTTAATGCTCAAATGCCATCGCTGCTCAGATCTCCTTCGATATCTGAGAAAGGCCTTCGAATCGTTGCTCCGTTTGAATCGAGATACACCAGGCCTGCACAGTACATGTGCTCGTTACATCTATTAAGTCTTTTTAAATCCCAACTGTTCTCCCCTGTCATCTCTTCCTTTTCCTTCCATGACCTGTCAAGGACCCTGCATTGAGCGCCGTGGGTTCCCACAGCCTCAGTGCAGCCAGCCGCTTCTACGCTCTCCTTTATCGCGTGTGTTTCCCATAAAGTGGAATCTAACTTTATGGGCTCCATTAGATTCTGTTTGGGTTTGTTGGTTTCTGTTTGGTTTGGCAAGGATGCTGTATAGGTAATGCCAAATAATTCTAGCCGCGTCCCATCAGACAGCACTCCATGTCTGGTTGCCCCACGCCCAGTGACTGATCAGTGGGTTCAGATTGCAGCAGTCTAACCCACCACTGGAAGATTCCCCCAGCATCCTTTCATCTAGCAGATTTATCTAGTGATACATTTTCTCCCTGAAGCGGATTTTCAGGAGTTGTAAGCTGGTCTTTCAAGCTCCATCACCAGTCCTCATTTCTCAGCTAAAACCCGTACAACTAGATCTATATATTCATGCAGACTCAACAGGCAGGTTAAGCTCTCATCTGAGAACCAGCAAATGCTTTGTGTTCAGGTTTTAAAAGCAGGCTCCCTGTAAATGGCAAGCTCAGCCACTACTGAAGCAAGATGAGGGTTGCTGTCTCACATGGAGAAAACTGGGCACGCAGCAAAGGCAATGCATGGGCTTCTTTTCTCTGTGTCCTTTGAATTCTAGGCTATTCCAATTCCCTGACTCTCAGCCATTGCTTGAACCTGAGAGCAAGACCTTGTATGCCTACCCTGGGAAACAACTGGAACTAAAGCTGTTTGTGCACTGCCCCATCCTTCTATCAGACCCATGCCCTCTGAGCACTTCCTCACAACAGCCCTGAGGGCAGTTTTTGCATCATAGGCCCAGCCTTCTGGGGCATGGGATTGCTTGCCTCCTTCTTCTCCTCCTCCTTCTTTTTATTTTTTATTTTACAAGACAGAGTTTCTTTGGAGCCTGCCTTGGAACTCTCTCTGTAGATAGGCTGGTCTCGAACTCACAGAGATCCCCGTGTGTTTGCCTCCCCAGTGCTGGGATTAAAGGCGTGCACCACCACCGCCTGGCCCACTTGCTTGTTCTTATAAAAAGAAAATGTGTAATGCTCAGATGAACACAATGCCCTGTAAGCTGACTGTGGTGTTATATGCTTCTCACGTGCTTTTGTTGAGGTGTTTCTGAGTCTGGGGCTGCGTATCCTAGCAGGCCCTCATTTCCTGTTGAATCAACTCTATGACCTTGTTTGTCTCAAATCCTTCTTTTTTGTGACCAGTTTTAACCCTAGTGTCTCTGATATGAGGACTTCTTTTCCAGTTCTCGGTCTTCCCTATCTGGTGAAGCTTTCTTCACGCCCTCGAGAGCTGGGAGCTGGGCATGTCTGCAGTGGACAGCCTGGTCTCAGACCCCTCCCCTCTAGATCTGCATCCAGCCTCCCAACCATGGGTAGAGTGCCTTGCCCTACCCTGTGCCCCACAGGCTGAACCCAGCACCCCATCTTCTCAGTCTAAACTATCTCCCTCTTGCCTGCTCCCCAAGTCACTGTGGTCCTTGCTGCTCCCCAAGCACCAATGTCTGTGCTGTGTCTCGGGGAGGGAGGGATACTCATGCCCCTGCCTATGTTGTGACGTAATCATTATTTCTCCAGCTTAGCTCTGGGTCCACCAAGGGTGAGAATGCAGAGCCTGAAAGTCCTGGACCCACAGTTACGCTGTCCCCCCTCACTTTCATGCCCTCATTCCCGTTCCTCCCCAGCAAACCTTCAGGCTCTCTTTGTAGCCTTGATTGACATCTGATTGCCCTGTAGGTGAAGACCAGCAGACCCTCCACTCTCATCACTTCCCTGTGTGGGAGGTTCATGGAAATCCCACACCCCAGGTGGGCCACCCAGCATGAGTGAGCCCCCCTCTCAGCTCCCCGGGGTGCTGCTCCAGCCAGTAATCATGACTCCGGTTCCACATGTCAGCTGGGAGACCTCCAGGAACCAAAGTCCCTGGCAGACCCCAACTAAGAGCCAGCTCACTGAATTTTTGTGTGGGCGTCCCACCCCCACCCCCGCTCCCCACAGGAACCTCCTCTTCGCCCCCCCCCCTTAAGAAACTCCACTCAGTTTTCAATCTTCCGGTGACCGAGGCAGGTACCTGTCACGGCATAATTATGCACCACTTTCTCCGCCATCGCCGAACCGAAAGATTTTCTTTCCTCCTGCTCTGTGACATGACAGACACCCACTTAGCGGAGAGATTATTAGTATAAAATTACTTTTTGGCCTTTAAATTTAACTATACCATATTCACAGCAATAAAATAAAACCCCAAATCCAGGTGTGCTTTCCGGGGAACGTGTCTGGGGCAATTACCTTCTGATAATGGCGTCCTGCACTTAAGCCTTTTGTCTGAGGCTCTCGAAATCATTTCCATACAACTCCATAATGATGCTCATTCTGGAAGGGACAAGAGGTGAAATGGGTGACCCCGTAGCATACACCAGAGATGAAGGTGATCAGGGACCCAGGTGTCTGCTTTGTTCCCATTCTCCTCCCTTTCTGGGTCTTTAAAGAGGCGTGGGCCGCCTTCTGTGGCACCGCGCTTGCCCCCGGGGTTGCCAATCTCCCTTTTTAAGAGCGGGAATGGCTAGGTTTCTATATCCAATTTCATGGGGAGGGGCTGAAGCAAGCGGAGGAGGTGCGGAGGAGCTGTTACATAGGAGAGCTTTCCCGTGGATTGAGTGGCTTCACAGATGAAAGGCAGCTGAAGCAGAGCCACACGGGGCCAGGACTGTCTAAATCAGCTCCTGGACCGTGTGTGCCCCTGGGCTATAAAGACAGGTGCCTCTGTCTCCACATAAGAAGTGTGTCCTGCTTACTCTTCTCTAAATGTTCTCTAAATGCCCATCCTTCTCCCTCTAGCACAGACATTTCAAGTTCTGGGTACCAGCTTACTGCACATGTCCTTCTCCAGTCCGCCCAGCCACCAGTCACTTCTCTCCATTGGCTACTCCATCATTTTCTCCCTCCACTCAGGCTAACAAATTGGAACTGAGTATATGACTCACAGGATTTGAGCACTAAATTACTCTCCTTTCTGTAATGTTATTTTAACTCTCGTATGAATGTTTCTCTGTGTCTGGTGGGATCACTGGGCCTTGAGAAAAACACTCATGTCCAGCCAGAGTGGTATTTCCCCTCGAGCCCGGACATGATCCTTCATAGACATCAGAAACTTGGCATTCACTTAGAGCACTGGTTCTCAGCCTGTGGGGTCACAACCCCTTTGGTGAACCTCTGTCTGCCAGAAACTTATACATTACAGTTCATAACAGTAGCAAAATCACAGGTATGAAGTAGCAATGAAAATACTTCTATGGTCAGGGGTCACCACACGAGGAACTGTATTGAAGGGTCGCAGTGTTAGGAATGTTGAGAACCACTGGCCTGTTGGAGGCAGAGTAGATAATGCTGTGGGATCCAGTATGATACGACACAGTACTGAGTCTTCATTCTTGATCCACCACGCCCATCCTATGCTGTGCTTTATGCCTGTGACAGTCGGTATTAATTGCTAACTTGACAGCCAGGAGACATATCCCTGGGCCCCCCTGTGCAGGGCTGTCGACAGGTCAGCCTCTGAGAAGGTCTGTAGAGAATTGTCTTGATTGTGTCGATGTGGCAGAGGGACCCCCTTAATGATGGGCAGGACCATTCCCTGGGCTCGAGCTCCCATGCTGTGTAGAATGGGGAGGGCAAGCTGAGTAGCAGCATGGATGCGTTTATTGCTATCTTCTTCTGAGTGTGGATGGGCTGTCGCTTGGAACTGTCAGTCAGTGAATCCTTCCTCCTTTAAGTTACTTTTGTCATGGCATTTTATTACAGGAACAGGAGAAGAAACTGAAACAATACTAAAGACCTTACATATGAGTTGAGTTCTACATGTTGGGTGTGGTGAGAACACATACAGACTGGGGGATCTTAACCAGTGGTGAGAGAAAGTAAGCACACAGGAGCTGGAAGAAGGTGGACCGTGATGGGTGCCACAACTGAGACTCAGTCAAAGGGCTTTGAAGAGGAGCTGTGGCAGCTTCTATTTGGAATCAAAGAAATTCTCACCCATTTAGTCAACAAATATATAGTGGTGGTATGTGGGAACACTCCCACTCCTCTTCTCCAGAGGAGGGAGGCCCTGCCTGATGGTCATGTGGCCATCTTTAGAGCCATCTCTTAGAAAATACTGGCCCTGTGCTCTCCTGCTTCCGCCACTCCTCATCTGTGAGCCCATGCAGCCTGTGATTAAATGCTCCTGTGTAGCAGATCCCTTGTATTTACTACACACACACACACACACACACACACACACACACACACACACATATTGATGGAGCCAGGCTAGTGTTGGAACTCCGTGTAAAGAGGACCTGGATCAGATTCATATTCCAGAATGCAGTGTGGGATCCTCTAGATGTAATTGCAGAGGTCCAGGTAGATTTCTCTTTTCTAGTGTTAACCATAAAGCCATCCAGTTGTCTCACCCCACCCCATTCCCAGTGCAGAAGGATTCTAGGGATCTGAAGAAAGATTGTTATATATCAGTTCCTCTCAGCACTGGCTTCTGGATCGCACACTAATTTCCCTTCAGGAACTGATTAACAGCCACAGCCAGCTATTCCCCTGTTCCCCAGTCTTCCGATGCAGCACTGGCTGGGAAGGTGAGAGCTACTGACACTGTTTGCCCTTCTGATCTCTTCCAGGATCTTTTTCCCCGGAAGCCACCCTGTCCGAGGTGTGCAAGTGATGAAAGTTGGCAAGCTGCAGCTGCATCAAGGCATGTTCCCCCAAGCCATGAAGAATCTGAGGCTGGTGAGTGTGCCAAGACTCCGGTTCTGCCTGGTGTACCTTCCTCTAGCTGTTGCCAGGCCTCTGCTTGGTAATTGCCAAGCTCTGTTTTAGTGTGTGGGCACAAACACACACACACACACACACACACGAGTATGCTGGTAAATGTTTAACAACCATGTCTAAAAACATTTGTAACACTTGCCAATTTCTGTGGTAGGAATGTACCCAAATGTAATTCATTTTACACTGCCAGTATAGAATCAACCTACTTGTGTATTATGTGTGCATGTGTGCACACACATGTGTGTAGGTGCTTGTATAAGTGTGTGTACATGCATGTGGAGGGCAGAGGTCAACCAGCTGTTGTTCCTCAAGAGCCATCCACCTTATTTGGGGGAAACATAGGATCTTTCTGACTTGTAGCTCATTGATTGGACTAGACCGACTGGCCAGTGAGCACCAGGGACTTGACTGTCTCCATCTCCCCAGCATTGGGGATTACAAGTCCACTCATCTCCACCCAGCTTCTAGCATGGGCTCTAGGGCTCAAACTTAGGTCTTCATGCTTGCATGACAGACACTTAACCTACTGAACCCTCTCCCTGGGCTCCTAATTATGGTTTTCATAGTCACTCTTACAAACTGGTGTGAGTCTCAGAACACTACAACACGTGTGCCCTGACCTACAAATCCTCCTTCTCCACATTCTCTGAACACGGTATGTCTCTTCTTACGGTAGGCAGGACCTGGTCCTCCGTCTCTAGACTCTGCATCTCCCCTTCCCTCTCCCCACTGCTAGAATGGTTGCCCTGTATCAACACTGACTTACAAACTCTTAGGTCTTTACAAAGCCATTTCCTCTACCTTAGATGTACCTCCTAGCCTCCAGGGCCTGGCAGAACCCTACTGGTCCTTCAGGGCTCAACTCCAATGTCTTTGTTTCCTTGGTTCCTACAACTCTTTGCTAGCGGTGCACATGGAGCACTTCCTACATTTCAGTAGGGGGGCACTGTCCCAACCCTGGCAACCTGGACATCATTGTTTCTCATCCCTGTAACTAACTCAGCATCAGGCAAAATGCCTAGAACTAAGAATGTATTTGTTGTTGGAGGAAAAGGAAGGGAAAGAATGAGAAAGTCAAAACAGTCTTAGCAGGAAGTGTTAGAAAATGCAGTGAAGACCTGGGTTATTGCTGGACCGCATTGCTGGAGTTGTATATTTTCACCCTCTTAAGAAGTTTCTCTACCCAGAACAGCCCAGGTCACAACCGGTCTTCCTTTTGAACAACTACATCCTTCATCTTAGGGTGTTACCCCAAGGGGAATGGGGCTTCCCCAAGGGACTGATGTGTCTTATGTGTCCCCTGATGGTGCCAAATACAGAAACATATGCCATCCACCCTGACAAATTTGTACTGGAGTGAACATATTTCTTAGTGAGCAGGAGCCCCAGCAGGGCCCTGCTCTTTAAGCGATGTCTGTTTGTAGCAGCCCTCCTCTTGACCGTTTCTGAGCATTTCCTAGCAGATGAGCCAAACTTACACTGGCCCGTGAGAATATGCATGACCTGCAAGCGTAGGTGCAGGTCAGGGGCTTCCAGAAGAAAGCCTTCCTCCCGAGTTCCTTCAGGTCAGGGGCTTCCAGAAGAAAGTTTTCCTCCCGAGTTCCTTCAGGCAGTCTGGAAAGCAGGAAGGAAGCCATCGGCTTCATCCTTTCTAACAGAGCCACCCTCTCTTCAGAGGCACCCTGGCTAAGTCCTGGGAATAATGAAACAGCTTCCATGCAGTTTCAAAGCCCAAGCATGACACAGATCTGAGAGTGTCTTCAGAAACAAGAACAGGAATGTGCCACAGGTTCAGCTCGGATCCAGCATCCTGTAGGGGGACCCCGCTCGTCCAGCTCTGATGTCCTTTGCTGTCTTCTCATTGCTCAGCTGAAATCCACTCCTTGTGACTGCTCACAGCAGCCCTGCAGGCTCTTCACAGTGATCCCTCCGCCTTCTCTCCTCTCTACCACTCTGGTGTCTCCCCGTATATTCCTCCAAAGGCTTTTGTTACTAATCTGACTTCTTGGCCATCAAGGGCCACCTGCCTCAGCTACACCGTCAGCAGGCAAATGTTTTTCTGTGGATTTGTTTGCTGCTGACTCCCCACCCTGGGTCCCAGCCTGGTTCCTTTGCCACCAGAAGTCACTCCGTCACCCTTCCTTTTCCTACACAACGTTTGCTACCCAGGTTCACTGTGTTTCTTCTCCTCTTGTTATGGGGATCTGTTTGGCTTTTCCTGGTCCTAAATGGGAAGTAGAGGCTTCAGGTCCCAGAAGTTGCTCCTATGGCTCATAGAAACCACACTTGTTCATGGCACCCTCTCATCAGACAGATCCCACAGCACAGCCATGCTGGTCTCCACTCCAGACTGCACGTTGCTTTCTCGCCCTTCACAACAGCCAAATGATACATTTCTTAGCTCTCTGCAGTAGTTTTTAATCTCTGTGCTTATGCTCACATTTAGGAATCTGATTCAAGCCCCTGCCCTGCCCGAGGAGAATGAACAGAACCACAGACTTGTATAGAAACCCACAAAACTTTTCTAAGACTCTTTAAGCATTTTTGGCCCCTCTGTACATGTAGGGTCACAACTTGGCATGTGGGTAGGAGGGAAGAAAAGAAGACAAGAGAGAAAAGGACATGGTGCCATAAATGTTACCAATGCCATCAAATCCCTTGGCTCTGATACTTATGAATGTCACCTACTAAATTCCAATAGGAAATAATAACACCAAGTGTGTGTTTTTAAACAATAAGAGAAGAGATACAGCTAGAGAGATGGCTCAGTGTTTAAAAATGCTTGCTGCTCTTCAGAAGACATGAGTTCATTTCCCAACACCCATTTTAGAAGGTTCACAATCTCTTATAACTCCAGCTTCAGAGAATACAACACCCTCTTCTGACTTCCATGGGCACCAGTACCTATGTCCATGGGGGCGCGCATGTACGCACGTGCGCGCGCGCACACACACACACACACATTTTTAAAATCAAATTTTATGAAAGAGGAGGAAAAGAAAAAATGATGATAAAATGTAGGTGGAGTGGTTAAAGCCATCTTTTAAGCAAATAATCATAAATCTCCCTGTTAACGGTGCTAAACTCAGTAGTGGCAAGGAGCTGGATGGAAAACCTGGACTGTGTCTCTGGCCGGCACCATCAAGGTGTCTTCCTCCCACCCCCTTACAGAGTGATGCCAGGGACAGCTGGGTGGAACAAGGTTTGCCTACAATTCAGATTCTCCAGAGGTCCGTGGTTCATTTGAAAATCGCCCACCGTACAAAGAGCCAGTCTTGATCTTCAGCAGTGATCAGCAGATGCCAGCGTTGAGCTAGCCGAAGCATAGGAGTCATTTGACAGTGATTTTACAACAGCCATCATCGAGATGCTCCAGTGAGCAATTACAAATACTCTCCAAACAAATGAAAAAAAACATAGAAAGAAGTGAAGAGAGAGACAATGTGAAGGAACAAACAGAAATTAAGAGCCCATAAATTCAGTGGGCAAAATAGTGGAGAGGAACTGAGCTCAGGAAGGAAGGTCACAACATGGACTGGAAAACTCAAAGACAGAAGGAGGGACTGCCCACTCTGAAAGCAATCACACAGGAAGGAAAACATAAAAAAATAAAATTGAACAAGGCCTTGGGTCCTGGGGACCGATGAGTAGTAATGTTAGCCATCTGACTTCAGGAGGAGAAGAGAAACAGAGCAATACAGAAAGTACTTGAAGCAATATCAGAGGCATCCAAACCAGAAAAGAAAAAGAAAGTTTTATCTTTGCCACAGATGACAGATTTTCTATGTTGAAAACACACACGCACGTGTACACGCAAAATCACACACATTATAACTAGTAAATTAGTATAATCTAAAGTCAGCAGTCACAAGCCATTTGTGGTTCTATATACTAACAAAAATGAAAATGAATATTTTCATTTATAATACCATAACATACTTTAAAAATAACCTAAGTAATGAAGGAAAGAAATTAAAACATAAACAGTGACATCTCATGCTTATGGATTGGAAAATTGAATATATCAACATTGCTCAAAATGATATACACATTTCCATCAAGTAATCTATTTATTTTACAAAATTAAAAAAAAATCTTAAAATTCACATGGAAACTTAAAAGACACCCTCATCCCCAACAAAATAGCCAAAACAAATCTCTAAAAAAGGAACCAGGTTGGAGAATGCCAATTCCTGATTTCAGAAAAAAAAAACTTATTACAAAGCTATAGTAATCAAAACAGTATGTTACTGGTATACAGATGGACACATAGACCAATATGTACACAATAAAAATGCCCAATGAGACCCTCACATATATGGAAAAGTAATTTTCATCAGCACCACTCAATAAGGAGAGGACAGTCACTTCGACAAGTGGTGCTGCAAGATTCACCTCACCACATAGAAAAAGTAATTAAAGTGGATCAAAATCCTAAACGTAACAGCTAAAACTAGAAACAGATTAAAACCAATAAAGAAAACCTCAAGACCTTGGATTTAGCAATGGTTACTTGACTATGACAAAGGCCTGGGCAATTAAAGACCTAGTGGTCAACACAATGAACCGCATCAAAATTATAAACATTATGCATCAAAAGGCAATCCATCAGTGGAGTAAGAATGTAACTATAGACACACAAAAGCATATTATTTGGCCCTAAAAAGGGTGAAACTCTGTAGATGAAAGTTTCTGTCCCACCCAGTTCCACAGCTTTTCAGTTCCAAGTGAACACAGAGAGACTTAAACTGCTTGCCTATTGCTCAGGGTTATTACTAACTAGCTCTTACAACTTAAATTAACCCATAATTTTTATCTATGTTTAGCCATATGGCTTTGTACCTATTCTCAGTAAGGCATTCTCATCTTGCTTCCTCTGTGTCTGGCTTGCAACTGTGTCTCTGCCTTTCCTCTTCCCAGAATTCTCCTAGTCTGGTTGCCCCACCTATACTTCCTAC